TTATTTTCACCACTTATTTCTTGCTAATTATCAACAATTAATAACCGATAGCTGTCAAAGTCAAACCACTTCGCAGTTTTTAATCGCTTCATTCCCGGCGAATTCGTTTAATCAACTGAACCTTTGACTTAGTAATTGTATCGACATTTTTTTCGTGTTATAATGGCAGATTATTTCTTATTTGAATATCAATTTTCTGTGTTGTGAGCTCAACAAGTTTATGTATAAACTTTGCAACTTTTCACGTGTGTTTTTTGGACACAGTAGGCAATGCAATTTATTTGTTTGAAACTCAGATTCCACATTTTATTAAACATTGAGCTGTCCGCCTGTAGATCACTGAGCATATGTAATTCAGACATACCTTTAACCTTTAATGATAAGTTATCTCAGTCAAAAATATTGATATTTCGTCCGATAATTGAGTTCATAGCTGAAACAGTAATCAGGCTAGCGTGCGAAGCGCAAGGTCATTATAAGGTTATAATGAGGTCATTATATATCGTTATCAATGGAGATTTTGTCGGATTCTTCTAAATGATTTTATCGTACAAATCATCTAATGCTGAATTTATTTTCCTCAGCTTTGAATCGGCTATACAGATTCAAATGGAATATTCGGCTATATAGTGTCAATGGAATATTCATGTTTTAAGGGTTCGAACATCTGTTTACATTGAGCTTCAATGGAGAAAAATTCCCAATATTTAACCGTGGCTGAGACTAATTTCTTCCATTTTGTGGCAATTTCCCGTTGAATTCCTGTGCACATTTAAAGCCTTTTTAGGTGCATGTTTTAAATCCTCTGATTTGGCCTCGGTTATATTTATAATGTATTCTTTAATATGATCGGTTAGATTAGCCCCTATAAATGAGTAAACATTCTCTGCAGTTTTGAGAGGTTTAAGTGACATTTCATGATAAGTGACTCTCAAGTATCTGTCTTTTAGCCAAGGATCACTTTCAACCAGCGATATATATTTCAACCGGTTGTTACAGTAGTTGGTCATGATCATTTCTGACTTGTTGTTAGGGGTGAATGAAGAGCTTGTATTGACTAACTATGGTATTGCTCAGTAGCTGTTTCGAATGAAATTCCAAGCAACCTTTCAATCGACTGATGAAGACGAATACCTTCAATCACACGAATCTCAAATTATATAAATCAATAAAATGTTATGCACCAACCCTCCGGAAACAAATTGACTTGTTAAAATCAAAAACAATATCACCATTTTATTCTTATATGGAATTTAAACTTGTAGTGAAAATTCAATTAATCAGAAAATTCCTCACCATTAAAGCATATAAATAAGTACATAATTAAAATACTTTGCAACCAGGAAGACATAGCCAGTGGTTGATACTTTGGGCTCCACCCACAGTAGGAATAACTGTCTGTGATAACCAGGGAGCCGGAGTCGGGTACCGGTCTCTGTAGAGTCGGGTACCACTACTAGAGCCCACTAACCACACCTTACAATTCTATGGGATAAACATTTCGATAATTCAATGGAATTTGCATAGTTAAGCTGATTCTGTACCGAGAACCCTGATATAGAATCAGCATTGTGCACGGCGCCTACATAATACAGCATACTTTAATTTTTTGCGATTATTATGATCACATTTGACGAGGGAGCTCCAACATGATCATGAGAAAACTTGAAGTTTGTCTCGATCTTAGAACTAAAGACACATTCCGAACCTTTATATGGTAGCACATTTAGGTAGTCAGTCCTCATAGACTCATGGATCGTTGCACTGTTCTCAAATCTTACGAAATTCGCATCCTTGCATTTATTCTCCTTTTTCGCCGGACTTACAGAGCTATATGCCAATACACCCGTAGGTTAATCAGTTTTGCTTTAAGTTTAAGACTTCGACATATGAGCATCATCAAATTACATGTGAACGGTTGAACGTGATTTTTGCTACTTGATAGAAACGGCAGCACTGCAGCAGGTCCACTCCATGCTGCTAGTGCTATTTCGCCTCTTAATATCTCTCAGTGAAGTCCATACCTGCTCTCAGCTACTATTTATATTCTTCTTTCAAAAAAGAAAACTTCGTTCGCTTCGAAATATTGATATATGCACCTATTTGTCACCAAGGTGCATTACTCATTCATATCAATGTCTATTTTGAATGAAGACTAAGTTGTTCTATGAGGCATGAGCTAGCCGACATCAGTCCTATTTGATCTTCCATCATTTTATCTTATCAGCAATTGTTTAGATAAGATCAAACTGTTAGTTTTACTACCGGATACTAAAAGAGGTTTTCTTAAATCTGGACACCCCCCCCCCCCCCACTTGCACCACTTTATATTCTCACCTAGACTGCAGAGTGCAGAGTCCACCAAACCAGCTTCCAACTATAATGTCCAACACGTACTGTACTTAATTACTGTAAAGTTGATTTGTCCGGGTAAGCTCAATAAACGTCTAGCCACGTAACTATAAAGCTATTACACCATCGGAGGAACTGAAAGTGTTAGCCTCGGAAAAGCATGAACTATCAGCTGTCAATATCATGATGAGTAGATACTTAGTTAACGTAGTATATACTTAGTTATTAGTTAGCGCTGTGTGGTCGGACGTTGCTTCGGCTACAAATTGGATGATAATTGTACCTACAACAAAATATTTAACGTGTATCGAACTTATATTATTTTTGATATTTCACCGCGGTGACGTTTCTAAGCTTCGAGACAATGTGGACATGCTCTCCCGTCCGTCCGACCTACGGACCAACTGTCTGAAATTCAGTTTACCATTGACTCCCACATTTTTAAAATTGTGGAAACTAAATTTGCTCAGATTTTCTCAATTAGTGTATGGTCGTGCAAATGATTGACAGCAAGTATCTCTATCAAGTTAATCTCAGTGCCTGTTTGCGCAGGCTCCATTAAAATGTACGACATGATGCATGCTAGTTCGCCAGTCAACACTTTTATTTACTCGAAAGCCTTCTATTTGATATTTTAAGCATGAAATTGTTTATCCTTTTTACCGCTTGATGCGTGCCGAAGAAAAGATGTTTCGTCGCCATTATCAGTTTGACACTACGACCGAGTCTTTTATCAAGCCTGATTCGGACCTAATAATGCCTTTTTGATACCACTTCTCTTTTTTATAACCAGACCATTCTACTATAAACGTAGATCCAAAGTAATCTCATAATTCAAAAACTCGAGTAGGTGCCATTTAAACCTATCATCGCAGAGAGGGACGTATCAACACCATAATTAGATAATGATTCTTATAACTTGTTCGTTTAAAATATTAACTGTAGTTTGTTTGTTATCTTTCGATTAAAAGTTTCAATACATTATAATGCAGTTTTTAACTAGTAAATAATAACGTTGCAGTACAAAGTTAGTATGTCTGTGGCATTTATATAACATTATATGATGTTCAATTGCAAATGAATTTCAATTTGTTAAAATATTAAGTTTCGTTAACATGTCTAATCTGAAAGGTCTGGGGCGGCAAACACGAGCCATGTCCATTTATTACCTAACAACCAAACAGGCCTCTGTAGTACTGCACTCTGCACTCTGCACTCTGCACTCTGCACTCTGCACTCTGCACTCTGCACTCTGCACTCTGCACTCTGCACTCTGCACTCTGTAGTACTGCACTCTGCACTCTGCACTCTGCACTCTGCACTCTGCACTCTGCACTCTGCACTCTGCACTCTGCAGTACTGGTAAAGCGTTTTCTGATAAGTTCGTCATATTCTTATTCGATTCTTACTAGTTCTACATGTTTAGCTCCATTTCTACTGAATTCTTAGTAGCATTCGATCGAGTGGATTACTCAATAAAGAAAGATGGGGGACCCGGGCTAGTTTCAATCCGTATTCAAATAGACAAAAACTGACCATTTTGATTAAAGTCATATATCAGTTGCCTGCGATCAGTGGAGTCTGTCTGTAGAGATCAATATAGTGTTGATAGCACTCGGCAGAGGAGAAATACTAACTATGAAATCATTCTCATGCTCATCAATATGATGCAATTGTAATAAAAACATTGGTCGATCACTATTAACTATAAGAAGATATTAAGGATCACATCCAGCCATTATGCGATTGGATCGTTTAAATGGATCGAGCAGACTGTTTCTTATTATTATATTGGTTTCTAATTCTAATTTCTGTAGATTCGTCTCAATTTGTAATTGTAGCATCCCAGAACATTCTTAATGACATAAACTCATAAACGAATTAACATGATTTCAAACGTCAAACCTGACTCACCACTTAGTTGAGGCTACGCAAAAATAACAACTTAAATTTTATGATTCATTCTAGATCCAATGATTATCCCTTTTGAATGAAGGACGAAGGTTTATCAAGATTGTTCAGATGATACATATATGATATATCAATAAGATATAATTTTGTGTGGTTTACAATGAAAGATGTTTTAATTTTGTCTTTGCCTTATGATGAGTTATACTTTGTTCACTTTTACACATTTGCTCACATCACTCACAGTCAGCCGCTCTGACATGGTTAACCACCTTCCTTGTGTTGTTGGTTAATCATATGAGCGGGATATAAATACCTCATTTCATTTCAATAATCTTTTATTTTTGAACTTCGACGATATCTGTACAAAGCGTATGAATGGACCGCAACATTGTAATAAATTCTCGACCATTTTAAATTTACGGCAATTTTCCGCTCCAGTTTTCAATTAGAAACTATACTTCCCGCACTTATACCATGTAACCTGATTTCGGTACAAAGAAAATGCAATTTTCTCTTTATAGTTGCACTGAGTAACAATTTAAACGGGTTATTCGAATTATCTTTGGGTGTGTAGACACTACAGTCACTGTAGAGTTTCAGAATATTTTATTTCGTTGACGATCGTTCTGCTTGAACAGACTTACTCGGTGAGCAGTAAGGCTACTAACTTAGCCTGGATAAAGTTTTAATCCACATTTTCGTCATACTTAGTTACTCGACTTTAAAACATCGCACGCAGCATTTATAGGTATATCGATGATTTGATTTGGCTGAGAAACTTCGTCCAGTCCAGTGGCCCATGAGTATGAAATACTCTATACTGAGTCTAACTTAGTTTAGTTACGTGGAATTAATGAAGACGTCCTCCGACAACGGGCCCAGCCAATCACGCTCCTCCAAACTATGGCAACTAGTCGTTTCAGCGGTGCAGTGTCCCCAGTAAGTATTTAAAGCTGCATAGTAGCTTCCCCAGTAAGTATTTAAAGCTACAAAAGTAGCTTCCCCAGTAAGTATTTAAAGCTGCATAGTAGCTTCCCCAGTAAGTATTTAAAGCTGCAAAAGCGGTGCAGTGTCCCCAGTAAGTATTTAAAGCTGCATAGTAGCTTCCCCAGTAAGTATTTAAAGCTACAAAAGTAGCTTCCCCAGTAAGTATTTAAAGCTGCATAGTAGCTTCCCCAGTAAGTATTTAAAGCTGCAAAAGCGGTGCAGTGTCCCCAGTAAGTATTTAAAGCTACAAAATTAGCTTCCCGCAAATAATGATACTTAAAATAATAATGGTATTTAAAGCTGCAAAAGTAGCTTCCCGCAAATAATGATACTTAAAATAATAATGGTATTTAAAGCTGCAAAAGTAGCTTCCCGCAAATAATGATACTTAAAATAATAATGGTATTTTAAATATTAACAAAAGTAGCTTCCCGCAAATAATGATATTTTAAATAATAACGATATTTGAATATTTACTTACTGATATTATTATAAATAACGTATTAATGCGTTAATAACGTACAGATACCTTAAAGTGAGATTTAAATATTGTTATTGGTGGATTCTATGTATTTTGGTTGAATATTTTGGGTTATCTAGGAGAAATAAATTACAAATACGGGTATTTCATTCTCACACTAAAACTGTAACTCTGCAATAACCTTATTATATTTGATACAATTTTGTAGAGACACTGAAATCTGCTATCAATACATGATATGATGATAATGTGGTTACCTTTTGCATTTCTAAACATACTAACCAGAGCTACTGTATTTATTAGTTCTTCAGTAATACTTACAACAGACTAGGCGACTAGCAGACTCAAAAAATGAACGATAATCGCTAATTCTGTGATGCTTCAGGTACAAGCCCGGACCAAGAGAACGTATCACCATCACTAATCTGTCTTTTGAATCTCTACCAACAGGCGAGGACAAGGTGGACAGTATTTACACAAAACCAGGTGAGAAAATAATTTGCTTTTTCCAGTTTGTTTAAGTTATAAGTTATTAGTTTTTACCAATTTGACTGATATACTTCTGATAAGTCTGATATATTTCTGATTTACTGGTTAAAAATGTATCTACAATCTACATCCCTGGGCATTGTGAAATTGCCTAATCACTCAGCTAATACCAAGGTAATTGTAAATTGCTCATCCACATTTATTGTAGTATTTACTCGAGAGTCTGAAATATACTCTGTTAGTGTTATTATACTGACCACGTACATCACTAAATAAAATAGCTATTGTCTCTACTTTCTAGAGCGTTTCTAATCCGGCTTCTTTATACTTTTATACAGACTTGTATTGACACTATAAGTATTATTTACGTCGTAAGAGCTTGTTCCCAGTGCGATTTATCGGCCGTAAGATTCATGTGAAAGGATACGATCTGTGGTCTGGTCCCATCAATATTTATTTTTATACTTCATTCTTATTCAAATGATAAACTTATTTACAATTACACAAAAAAAAGAAAACGTTAAAGGGCTCTATGATCCGCGACTGGCGTGCGTCCAAAATTACTAAATTAAAATAGAGAAGACCAAAGTCAGGAACCGTCCTAATATGGCCAATCGGCATTTCGGCATATAAAACTTAAACTTTAAGTGTCAAAATTATTAAGGCTTCATTTTTAATGGAAAGCCCATCCTTGGTATCGGTATATAATGGAAGATGACCAAGTAAAGATGACCAAGTAAAGTGCAAACCATTACAGCTGGTATGAAGCCACTGTTGGATGCAGCCCTGGACTCAGTGATACACCTACTGCCTGTCTAATATATATATACTATATAAAAGTGAACATCACACGCCCAACTTCTGTTTGTGATTTTCTCTATTCCGCTCTCAGCTCGAATTACATAAGTTATGGCCAATAAGATATTATTTTATGCAAACTTCTCTGTAGAATTCAGTGATCGCCTTTGAGGAGCTATATCTCCTGCAGCGTTAAAATTGAAAAGTATAGCAAACAAGATGGCTTTGAAGTAAAAGGTTTCTGACTATGGGATAAAGAGTTCTACTAGCAAAATTTAAGATATTTATGCTCTATCATCGTGTGATAGCATCATTCAAAGCAACCGACATTTTTCATTTTGCTGCAATTCGCTATTTAATTACCGATTCGCTCATTCGCTATCTCTGTAATCTGTATAACATTAAATAAGACGGAATCAAATTCCTTAAACATTGCTGATTAATTAATCAACTATATACAGCAAACACAAGATAATAGGAAATAAATCATAAAATCGAGTGGCCAAGTAGTCTCGACTCACCCATAGCTTCTCCATAAGCGTCTATCATGAGCTTTGTACACTAAATCGTTGAAATTACTTAAACTAAAACTTTTATTTACAAACACAATAATATTTTTCGTCATAATGTCTTTTAATAATAAATCAAATAAATTTGAACGAGGTCTGCCCCTCCTTCCTTTGTAGTCAAGACATCCTAAACATGCAAATCTAAAAGATAAGAAAGCGGGAGTGTCATCACCGCTTCTGAGAACGTGCCCAAGCATCTTCCATCGTGCTTTCTTGATCCTTTCAGTAAGGGGACTGACATTACATCTCTTATATAAGTTCTCGTTACTGATAACCGTAGGCCAATAGGTGTTGATTATCTGTCTCAGATGCTTCCTTTGAAGAACGTCGACAGATGCCATTACGGTTTCAGGAGCAGCCCAGCTGCTACAGTTATACAACAACACTGATGTGACAAGAGCTTCGTACAACTTCAGCTTTCTACTCTCACTGATCTGAACAGAACTATTCAACCAGACTTTCTTGTAGGTGTATAAGGCAACATTGGCTTTGTTGCGTCTGTTGACAATATCTCTTTCTGAACAGAGCTTTGATCCTAATAGCACTGACTCTCGCCACTCTTCATTTCCTCTGATTTTATTGCCATGGGCATCCAAAGCATCTGTCTCGGCCAAATACACTCTTGTAAACACCGTCTTTGATTCGTTAACAAAGAGGCTCCAGTCCTTTAGTATGTCACTGGCAATCTCTAGTATCTTCACCAGACTCTGACCATCTTCACTCAGAAGCTCAGCATCGTCAGCATAGGCGGACTCTAACGGGAGGCCTCTATCAGAGACTGGGGGGGTTTGGTCTAGGAATTGTGACACTGATCACGGCTCTGATGTGATTCAGGGCACCGGCAAGGGTCAATGTAAACACTTTACCTGCCAGACTGTCTCCCTGGTAAGCTCCAATATTAATCACGAATTCACCAGACTCAGCTCTGTTGACCGTCACCTTGAGCTTTGTATTTGAGAGGAGGTACTGAATCAGGCGAATGTCGTCTCTAGAGCATCCTGCATCAATGAGGAGGTTGATGATGGTCTGTCTGCGGATGGTATTAAACGCAGCGGTCATGTCAATGTTGATTTTACTATACTCAAACTCGCGCCTGGTAACCACTGATGTCAACATTCTCTGAGACCAAACCAGGTCAGCACAACTGCGACCCTGCTTGTATGCCGCCTGCCAAGGTCCAGTGTACATATCAACGTGGTAATTGATTCTGTTCAAGGCTACGAGGGATAGGACTTTTCGAGTTCCATTTAGCAATGCTGATGGCATTTATAATTAGACATCAAAGAAAATATTTAAAAACATAAATATCCGTTAAAAGGGAGTTTTCTTTTAGGTAATTGAATTAAGCGGAAAGCCCGATATTTTTAGCAGCTGTACATGATATTTAGGTATATATAAATTGTATCAAATTTCAAATTGATCAGAGCGATGATGGTGTAATGGTCAGCATCGTTGCCTTCCAAGCAGTGGATCCGGGTTCGATTCCCGGTCATCGCACATCTTTTATTTTTAGAGACATGATTGTAGTGAAAAGCTTGCAAAGTTAATGTAGCTAGTATCTCATGCATTTTCATCGCTGAATTTCAAAAATCGTGCTCAACACTGAATTCTATTGCTCTGCCGACTTAAGATTAATTAGCGGGCTTGCTAGAACCATGCAAGTGCATCACGTTAGACTCGCTACTACTTCGGGCACATGTCGCGTGTGTGCTGGTAAACTGAACCACTAGTGTAGATTTATTTTCACCATGCAACCAAAATACCGAAAATTTGATATAAAAGACTTGCCGACAACCACATTACCAGAATAATTTTATTGGCAGAATTCCTGCATTTGCATCGGAATTGAAACATTATCACCTCAGTATTCTAATTTTGCGGTTGAATTGCTGTCCACAAAAGCAACAAAGTAGTTCAAATGCACTTCTTTGTATATTGCTATTGTATTCATTGTGTTACGGCTACAGACTATTAGGTTACGAAAGTGTTTCATGTTATTAATATTATATGTATCAATCTGGACTGGTGGAAGCCGACAAAGGAGTTACTAACTACTGCGGAAGAATATTGAGGATAGACAGTTTTAAATGTTGGCTCCTCTGTTTGTTATCTTAATCAAGTAATTAAAAATATTTTTCAGTCATTGAACAGTAAATGCCAAATAAGTCAGTCTCATTACTTTGTTCTTTGATCTTTACCTTAATTAACTTGTGGTTAAGATATACCAAAGGGTATTGCTGTGACCGCTTCATCACTGGCCTCATTGTAATAATTGTGATATTTACTATTGCTGCAAACAAAGCATTGTAGACTATTAATACTCTTCCGTGCAAGTACTAAGTACTTAAGTACCTTTGCGGATAAGGGTTTATCAATGCGTTATATAATCTTGACTTTCGAAAAGCACTCAGCTTGAAGATTTTTCTGGTAAGTTTTAAGTTTTAACAAATTCAGGTTTTAACATAACCTGATCTAAGGAATTTAATCCCGGACTCAGAGGCAAAACTTCCAGAACTAAATTCTTAAAGGCTTCTTGATACTTGTCACACTTTATCGTTATAGAAGATCGCAGAAGCATGCAAGAAATTTAATCATTTAACTTATAACTCCGTACTGTTCAGAACAGAGACATTTTCATTGTCAAATAGCTTTTTGTACAGTTTCTGATTCAAGTTGTCACGAGGCAAAGTATTCAATATGGACAAATTCATTTCTATGATCAAGGCAACCTAATCCTCGATTCAGAGAGGGAAATCTTTCAGTCTTTCAGACAACTATTCGTGCAGCATTATGATTTCTAACTCTACAATATATTCTACGTATAGCAATTAGCAAGGCGTATGACGGGGTCAAATATTACTTAACAATTCTATGACCAGTCTTCAGATTCCTTGATAGGGTCGGAAATCCTACTGTTTCTTATCCAGGACAAGCAAATCAAGATGTGTCACTTTTTTTGTTTAGACAATCCATTGTGTCATTTGTTTTTAGCAGTTTCTTCGTCTTAAATACGAAATTATAAAATGCTCGAGTACGTTAATCATTAGCAGTCCTAGCTGACAGCTCAGCATTGTCCACAACAATCAAGCCGACCTGGTACTTTTCCTTCCAGATAATAAATTCTATCATTTTACTTTTGACCATTCGTCCTTAATCCGAGATCATAAAAGCCTTAAAGAAGTAAATAATTAGCTTTCACAACAATCAAGCCGACTACATTAGATGATCAATTATGTCATTTGATGTAAGCAGTTCATTTGCTATTCATCTGGGAACCATACGGGTACCATTACCGATAACCCTGAACACTTCACAAGTTTATATAATCTAAATAGTTGTAAAAATTACGTTTAAAAGTTAAATAGTTTAAATAGCTGTATAAACGTTATTTAATAGTTTAAATAGTTGTACATGACGTGTCACTATAAGCTTCACAGTGTCACTTTCTGTTAAAACCTCCCGGACGTCTGCTGTCGTCGGCGAGCCTTTCGCTTGTAGGAGTTCTCGAAAGATTAACAAATGAAACACAGTTTTGCCATGCTGGGGTACTACGAACCCGCTCCAGCCAGTTTCAAGCTTGTCATCGTCAGTTCAAATTATTCGCTATATTATAGTAGTGTTGAAAGTATTAAAAGTCATAAACTTTAGCTTCATTAGATCTGTGTTACAAATTCTCCTGTCAACATGAGTCCTCCTGGCACTTCTGGCAGCAACACACTGCTCCGGGCTCCCCACGCTCCACTTCCTAACCACGTTACCTGAGCATTGAGCTCACGGTGTTATTTGTCACTTTATCAATTGTCTGTCTGCAGTGTTGCACTTCCTACATAATACCCTCGTTACCTGTCACACACACACACACACATGAAGCTGCAGCCAACATATATCTAATTAAACTTATTTTAATCTATTTGCAATAAGAACATGGGGCTGGGCTCACATTAGCTTAAAAGGTCACCTCCGGGCTGCTGCCGTAATCAGTTTTACAGTCGTATTAACTGATTAAGCAGTCGTAATGTGATAACCAGTGTCAACTTTCCGACGCTAACCTGGTACCGCACGGCATTTTTATTTTTATCAAATAGGACGATTTGTTTTGTAACCTTCATCTGGGGTGTTTTTACCTACTTTTATTGCCGAAGTCACGATCTTATTTGCTTCATTTAAAGTCATAATGAATTCAATAAGCTGTCTTAAAGATCGGTTGCGCGAGTACAGTTGCTTTGGAGCAGCGAGCTGCAACATGAACGATATGAGTAAGATACTGAAATAATCTTTTTGGGTATAATTGATTTTTGTTCGAGAACTTTAAGTTGAAATATCTTTTGAACGGTCGAGAAATTGAATTAAATTCCCGATTAAATGAACATTGCGTGACAACTGACACATTAACCGATAGAGATAACCGTTTCTATGCTTGCATATTCCACTAGCAGGTGCATTGTGCAATAACCAACGTCACGTAGACATTACATCAGGGCTCGTAAACTATTTCTGAGTTAGTGTCCCGATCTTCTTCGTACTACGTGACCAGATTTTCGGTCCTTGATTCCAGCCTTTAATACCTGACTTAAAATCACAAGACCCGTTATCTTGTTCTTATTAACCTCCGCTATGTGACGTTGGTATTTGCAACCTGCATATTTCTATCATTTCTTTTCATTTACCTACATATCATTATATTCTTACATTTACTACTCCAGAGTCCTTACTTATTTACTGTTTCAGAGTCCTTACTTATTTACTGTTTCAGAGTCCAGAAAACTCTCAAGAATCGGGAGGTCTGTAAGTCTGATGGCACGAAAGCCGAAAAGCAAACTAGTAAGTTTCTGCAGACCAGTGAATCTGGGCTATCTCTTCACACGAGCTACTCATATTTACAACAATCACATGCCCGTCAACAGCAACCCATTTTAGTGTGTAGCTATCGCCAAGTAACAAAGTAAGTTTTCATCTGTTAAAGTTTCTTATCCTGACTTCCCATTAGAATAGGCGAACTCAGAGTTGTAAGGCGAAGAACGGTGAGAACTCAATCTCAGAGAACGGTTCACATGATCACATAAGGTAACATAAACTAATAAATCAATTGAGCAGAACTTTGAATTAGACAATCTACCGTTAACACCGTCTGATAACGGTACTTTTATCCACTGCGAACATAACTCAATTATGTTTTAATCGCAACCTTAATGTTAATAACAGTTGGGTCTCCTCCCCCAGCTTTACAACTTACCAATTTTCTGCAAATCGAACGCGTTAATTTTAAAATATTCGAAAAAAAGGTGATGTAAATTATATGTTTGTATGAACTAGAATTTAATTTAGGAGGAAAAGTGTAGAAAAGGTGGATATTGGGACCCAGACTAGGTTTTCATTGAACAGAGAACTGATAAAAGATATCGACGAGATGATTAAAGAGCAAGACGTTTCAGAATCTGACGATAATTCAGCAGGTATTAACATAAAACATCCACACGTGCATAGTTTGCTTTCTTGTCCTGAGGGCACGTGCATATTACATTTCCAGACGTTTTATATTATATTAAGTCTACCATCAAATTTGGCAAACATTCAATGTCTTCTTCACTATCTTTTCAGTGACTTTTTTACTTACTGGCCACAATTCTTTTTTTTCTTAGTTGAAAATAATTCGCTTCATCCAGCCGTTCACTCAGTGAACAACACTCGGTCTAGAGGTGTGCCCACTTACTTAGGCAAACTATATACCTAACAAATACGCAAAATGATAGATTTGTATCAATCAACTGTAAAATAAACTCACATTATTTTCCTCAGAGTTGGTGTTAGAAGACCCCCCTAATTTAGATTACGAGTGGAGTGACTCTGAGGTAAGAAAAACGAAAACTGTACTTTTTTACCGAATATTTGAATCGATTACTGATTCGGGGCCGCAAGTCCAATCCACCGAGTTTTAAGCTAAAGCCGGAGAACGCCCATGGGGGCCTGGGTGTTGATAGTGGCAAGTTCAGCGGGGACCTTGGCAACGCCACTAGGGGGTGCGTCATTGATAAGAGGCTAGCGGTTGCTCAAGATAGATTCATCCCTAAAACTCGAAGATAAATCCATACAATACAGCTCTTAAAGGTTTTCTGAGTTTAAGCAATTAATCCCAGGGCGCCTTATTGATATTAAATAAAAACACCTCCACGTGCGGGCACACGTGCGAACGTGAATCTCTAAAGGGTCCTCCATCCAGTACTGCAAATACAAAGCTCCACATTTCTGAGATTTTTGAGAATTGAAAGAGGTGTGCTCGCTTGATACACAAAAGAAAAGAATCAAATGAAATAATGACGCCTTTACTTTAGTGACGAATTTACTTGTCAAGCGTTCTATTACGCCATCTTTATACCATGAAGATCATGATGCGACTGACCTATCAAAGGAAAAATATTCACATAAACACTTGCTGACTTGTGAAACATTATTACTAATGTTTTTCATTTTGATTCGACTCTTAGACAACCATTATATCATTATTTTGCTACTTGGCCCAGATTCTAATTGGGTAGAAAACTTAAACTTTGAACGAGCAGATCGATTTAATGAAACTAATTGGTAATGATACTAAGCTTCTAGCAAATGTCCATGATATACAAAACCTATAATTAGTTTAGAAAGTCAAACCCGTCGTGCTGGGCGATCAAACCACCTCAAAAAAAAACCGGGGGAAACGGGAAACTGGGAATGGACACTGAAACTTCAACTAGGAATAGATTGAGTGTGGAATGTACATTCGCGGTCAGCGCGTGTCCCACCAAATCCTCCTCCAATCAAACTGCGCGCTACAAGTCACGTTGTATCTTACTCGGCCAATCAGGGTGCATCACAGAGCGCGGTTTCACATGCATTGGGTGTACTGTGTGTAATGTCAGCTGATGCTGTACACTCCGTAGGCTCACTTATTGTATCTGTTGCTCGACTGACACGAAATTAATTGACTGTGCGTGACTCGTATACAAGGAATCGTGCATTTTATCAGTTGTTCATAGTTCTTTCTGGTAACGCTGTGGTTCAATTAATTAATTTGATTAACACTGAATAGTTTCGTAATTAGACATTTTATTCGGGCAATATTAGCATCATTTTCTCAGACAAGTCTAAATTTGACCTTCTGGAATAATGAAAAATGAGTGAATAATTTCTCATTGCACCAAGGTGTTCTCATTTGATTTGTTGATGCACCATCATCTCATCGCTCTGAGAGTTATCCAATTCTTATAAGCTCTTTGTGAGTGGACTGCTAATTTCTTGTCACAAAGTGATAGGGCAACTCTGCGATTCGGTGGCCAATGTCTCTTAATACTGCAATCTAAGAGTCACTGTCCACTTGACCAAGCTGTAATATTATTGCGATTCAGTGGCCAATGTCTCTTAAAACTGCAATCTAAGAGTCATTGTCCACTGGACCAAGCTGTAATCTTATTGCTATCAGCCTACCACAAGCCGTAGTTTTGTCTTTACAATCAACAGCGTCTCTTACTCTTATTTTTAATGTGACCCCCTCGCTCAATGGCAACAGCGTCTCTTACTCTTATTTTTAATATGACCCCCTCGCTCAATGGCAAACTCACCCACATGATTTTAAAACAAAAGACCCGCTAGTCGGGTATGCTCTTCGCTCTCAAGCCCAATCTTAGTGGTGGGATTTGAAGAATATGCACCTGTATCAGTTGTCATGTGGTTCACGAAGTGCCACGTGTGCGTCACGAAGATGTGCGTCACGAACACGCCTCTTGTCGTATATAAACAACATACTCATTTTAAAAGTTCTTCTACTTAATGGTGTTGGTTCAATGTTATGGTCATGATCTCGGTGAAATCAAACACCTAAGTACTAACCTCAATACCGGGGGTAGGCCTAATCTGACCGTTTCGCATTGCCCTACTTTGAATAGCTCCATTTACTGCACCTTTATTTTTGGATGGTCACTTATAATAGTACTATGCTGTAAAATAGTACGACTCCTATTTCCTTTAGCTTCGTAGCTTTACGGTCTCGAATCAGAATAACCTGGGTAGTTTAGAAACTAGATACGAACTATTGATTCTTTGTAACCCTGTACTGTAGGTACCAATTTGATGCAATTTATTTCAGTAAACAGAGCAATAGCCAATAACTAATTTGGAAATTCTGTACTCCTCACAACATTGGCATTGGGCACTGGTTAATAATAATTAACAATTAACATATTGTATATATTATGATCCTTGTATGAATTAGAATTAAAAGTGTTTTAATTACTTCAAATGTAGTAGAAGCCTTAAATAAGCTCTTTCTTTGCTACATTACACACTGGGGTACTATTGTCCTCTTCTGCCTAATCGAGGGAGCAAGTAATTATCTTCAGTGAAACTATGTTGTCTCCTTCCCAGTTTCACAAACACAGATGTTTATTGTTTAGAGTTAAAGGTTAAAACTACTTGACTCATATTTACCTGTTATGCCGTTCAGCGTTATATTATTGTCCAGACTCCATTCATATCTTTAACGCATAAATACGTTCGATTTTAAAATTTACACCTTGCCAGTTATAGGGTAAAGCACATAATTTTGTCATTTTTTGGCAATTTTCCGACTGCCTGATATAAACCATGGGTTTTAACCTCGTCTGAAATTCCGATTTAGATGAAACCTCCACCATGTTATAGTAGACAGTCTAGGCAAGTTCTAACACAAAAATGATCGAAATTGCTGGGGTTGAAGATGTTAAAAAAAATTATTTTGAAAAAATGACAAAATTAGGTGACTTTACTTAATTTTGTCACCCCGAACCTAATTTTGTCACTTGAAGATTGTGCAAAAAGTAACCGTTTCTCGGTATTTTAGACTACCTGGATGCATCATTCGAGCGCTTTTTTACCAACATTGACCTCAAAAATCCCAAAGATATGATGTTTTCATAGTTTTGTAGCTTGATGAAAAGATGACACTTTTTGGGTATCTAATCTTAGAAAATAGCCCCAAATGCCCCTGAAACCACTGGCATCTTGAAAAACGATTGGTTCTAGGCCTAGGTTGAAATTGTCATGTCTGTAGATAGATCACTTGCTTAGTAATTTCATCAAATATTTTTTTAGTCATTTTAGATTGAAAAAATCAGATTATCCACCTAATATTTCTCGGCGAAAATATGCTATTATAAGTGTTATACTATTATTTAAGTGCCTTATACATATCCTATGGGCAAAAAAACTTCAGAATAGTTGTATAAGGCCATTTTCAACACAATCTGTGATTTACAAGAAATTTGAGAAAGGTCGATTTTTTTGACAAAATTAGGTACTTCTGGCAAAATCGAACCTAATTTTGTCACCCTCTGTAACTTGAACAATAATTGCGCTAGAGACTTGAAAATTTGTACGTATACTTCTGATGTAGAAGATATTTGAAATATGCAATGGCATGAAGCTAGCTCAATTACTTTTGAAATAGCAATTAATCAAAATTTTGAAAATTCCTTAAGAAAACCTTAAGGATCTTATTTATTTTTCGGGTTAACAGTTTCGCCTTCATTTTTGACACAGATGCAAAAGAGCTAGAAACTTAAACTTTGTACGAGCAGTTTCAGCAAAGTCTAAGCTTTCTTTTTATACACAATCCTTTTCTTTCAAGCTGAAATTCCGAGCCGAGGCAGTTTTTCAGAGCAAAATGACAAAATTAGGTACCCTGACAAAATTATGTGCCTTACCCTATACGCTATGCGACTCCTAGACAGCGATCTACTCAACTACCTAATTTGGTTTGGTTTCATGTTTATTTATAAATAAACATTTAGTTTATAAACTATTTTTGATTTGCTCCAGATTTCTTAAATCCAGACTACTCCATCAGTAAGTTTGTTTCACCAAATTTGGTAAAATTTGAAGTATCGCTTTAATTAAGTCTCGTGATTAATAATAGCAGTCACTTCGCGTCCTCTTTCTGCACCTTTAGAAGATTCTAGATTTCATGACCTGAAAGAGAGGACACCTTTTCGAATATCAGAAAGGTACGATATTAATCACTGATTAAATTCGGAGATGGTTGCTATTTGCTGAGTCGTGCAGAGTGTGAACAGATTAAGATGCCCGACATTCTAACATTCTCTCGTCTAGATCAACCCTTCTTCGAATACTCGATAGCACCTCAAATTGCTCGTATATATTCACGCTCATTTTTTGTCGAATAAATTAATGTCGATTCTAAAAAAGGTAAGCACTGTTGGCTTCTTGCTGCTGCGGTTAAATTTTAGAACATCATCTTCACTTTTACTACAGTGCTATCGCTGTGATCCAGTCTTTCCTTTATATTTAAAGTTCGCGGAGGATATTTTTCATTTGTCCGGGAGAAAATGAAAATATACCATGTGAAAAATATGTAAATCTAATTATACCATTTACATGGGAACTAGTGCTCTAGTGATGATAAAGTACCTATTCATGATTAAATACCTGCAATCTACATGTAACAACTGTACCATTCTCATAACTTGATAACTTTGCAAATTGACATTCTTGATTCCGGTTATCGAATATACCAGCTGCAGCCGATTCTCAAGTTTCAAAAGTTGCTCGAATGCGTGTACGTGAGAGGCCTCATTGGCCCTGAATATTTAGCTCATCTTTATTTTGGTCTGTGACCAGCTGTACTTACTACTGATGCTACATAAAACCTATTTTACAAGAATTAACACACTAACTCCCTCTCGGGGGAGGGGGACTAGTAATGGCGGCTGTGTGTGTGCATGCTCCTCTTCAGTAAGTGTTTCCATCAAGTCTCCAACATTCGAGCCTCCACTTTCAACAGACGTAATCACATTTCCAGGCCCTCTCGCGTCACATAAACCTCATTTATACGGAGCTGTAATTGTCGGGTGGTTTGACGGTTGGTAGAGGTAAAGATAGCGAATGTATGTTTCATATCGAGTACTATGTTTATTGAGTCGCGCCGCAAGTGGGGTTCCCACACGCTGCTTAACAGGGACTCTCTGTTTACCCACTACAACTCCACCCTCTCCACTTTCTCCACTTCCCTCTCCTCCGTTCCTGAGGTAAGTTGCAGGGAAATAGGGGTGAGAGCTTCTTTTCTTCACTCTTCAAGGTAGTGTGTGGAATACTGAAGTCAGGAAAATTTTAGAGACATTTTGATAAGGACATTTGAATAGTTAAAAAAAGGTGATTAAATAATTAATTCGTCAAGCAATAAATTGATGAATGTAACCAAAGTATGCACATTAGTTCCCGAGTATAAAGAGTAAATATTTATAAATTTACACGGAGAGTTGCTATAGTTCAAAAGCAGCTATAGTGCCATGCTCTGCCTACTCGAACAAAGCTCTGTGTCAATACCTTTTACAATAAATATTCTCAAGAATATCCCATAAATCCGTCATAATGCTTTCACACGTTATCTTCGCTCCTGAGTCCTGACTCAATAAATATAATCCGTTCGATTCAAAGTGGTCTATTGTAATACCTCATACCAGGCAATAGTTGTAGTCTATTTGTCAAAACGTGCTTATAGCTGGCAAGGTGATCGTGTTAGATTCACGTACTGTAGTTTCTACAGGAAGTTTGACCAACTGTGATACGAGGGATTGTTCCATTTTGGTGAGTGTCGAGCTACTGTCCGGGTTAGGTAGGATAGTGCCAGTAATGCTAGTAGTACCAGTCTCTAGTGCTAGTAGTAGTAATGCTAGTAGTACCAGTCTCTAGTGCCAGTAGTAGTAGTGCTAGTAGTACCAGTCTCTAGTGCCAGTAGTAGTAGTGCTAGTAGTACCAGTCTCTAGTGCCAGTAGTAGTACTGCTAGTAGTACCAGTCTCTAGTGCCAGTAGTACCAGTAGTGTCAGTCTCTACGGTCACCACCCTGGATTGGCCTGTGTCTGGGCTGTCCGGTTACTGGGGTCTTCCGCCATACTGCGGAACGATCTTTAGTTAACTAAAGATACAAAAAACTAAATATACGAAAATATTGCATTAATTCACGTAAAATAACATATTTGTATCCACGAAATACAGCTACAATCGTTTACAGTTTAACATCCTAAAGTTACCAACTTTGGAGAGTGCAGTTATAAATTACAAAATGTTTTGGTGGTTAATTTCTTAATTCATCTACCCTCAACTGCATTGTAATATTAAAAGTTTTTTGTACCAGAAAATTGGTGTCATTGATTTTATAAACTTGTTTCTCCTTTGTTTGACATATTATCTTAGTTACAATGACAGAAATCGCGCACTGTTTATGACGTTCATGACAGGGAATTGTTAAACCATATTATATTCATAAAAATCTCTTTACCGGACAATGACTGGTCATTGGTCAAAAGCATCTTCTGTCAAGTTTACAATAGCGTTTCGCTAAATCTAATAATCGTAAAATTGAGAACCCGTTATTTGTCCGTGAGCGCTGTTTTCCCCTGTCCCTTCGTGATCCGACTAGGACGTTATGTTGCAGATACGCGGAGTCGGTTCCGCCTGGTCCGTCTGCTCGGACCCCACTCCGGACAAATATCCGGACATGTCCGGCAGACAGTCGGACCCCAACCAGGACCCCCTGTGGGCGGACAGCTACCATCTGAACCGGAGAGCACCAGTAAGATACGCGGCCTCTCGGAGCGCCTCCATGGTGGAGAGCACACTAGACCCCCCTATTGTGAGTTTGCATGTGACTTACTGTGCGGTTCTGTGTGAGTTGATTAGTGTGGTTCTTGGGAGGGTTTACAATTACTTGTACAGGGTGTTGACGTTAATGTAGCATACTGTGTTTTTATTGTTTTGTGTAGTCGTGGGATAACGCATCACTGATTGGGTAACCATTTCTTATGATCTTTTGAGAAGTTATAGTTATGAGCATTTGTCAATAATTTGTCAACAACCAAATCAATATTGATCATTCTTGTGCGATTTAGTTGTGTTAATAAAATTATCTTTCTCGGTACTTTGTATGTTAAGAGGGTAAGAGGTAGGTGCTAGCTCTCAGACTAATAGCATGTGACGAAATTAAAGTCAGCATGAATTAAATTGTCATTATTACCTATCGCTTATTATCTAATCTGATGCGGCTGCGTTACTTTTTAAAGTCATAATTGCGGTCGATTCACGTACATCGGAGTACATTTAACCTTCAAAACTCTCAGGCTTATTGCTGGCCTTTGTGATTTTTGTATGCCCCCTGAAAAATGTATGTGACTCCCCGACCCACACTCGCATTAAAACTTATTTTATAGTTTTATTATGTTTATAAACATAATTTAAATGTTATTACATTATATTGGATCGCGTTACGTTTTAATTCCGTGATCCTTATATATTACATAAACTTCAAGTTTCATAACGTTAAGTTCTATGTAAGTCCCTCCCATCACGGATCATTAGTTATTTATCCAGTTTGTTATTTAAACTTTAAAGTTATTTTGAGTATTTTCGTAACATTTTATCGTCCGGATTTTTAATTGTTACTCTTCTCATTTGCTCCCAATTAATCACGTAACTGATAAGATAACACGTAATAATGCCACATATTATTACGGTAACATGTGAAATGTAACATGAAGACCCACGTGGGCAATTCTAAAGGTGTTTCAATAGTGCACTGATTGTAAGATATTTCTTAGAATCTTGCCCCGTATAGCCTGTAAGTAAGTTTTGCTCATGTACCTTAGTATCAAGGTGGGGTTTTAGTTCGGGCTGTTGTTGTTGGGCGTATGATGAAACCTGAAATCTCTTTCACTAGAATTGTCCTGACCGCATTGAATATGCAGCTGAAGACATTTTTCGGTTTTTCGTTCGTGATTCTCAGTTCAACACGTTCAGAATGCAGACGAAGGTTTTCGGTTTGTTTGTCCGTGATTTTCTATCCTACACGTTACATACTTTCATAAGCATCCGCGGACCACTTAAAAATCTCACATACGAAAATGAGGTTCGGTTATTGATTGATTAGTTCTTGATGAGCAGTTTTCGTTTGTGCTTGAAATAGTTTGATAAAACAGTAACTTTCGTAAACAATTTAGCAACATTTGCAAGCAATCTTATTATAAGCTCTATATTAACATCCTTGTGGCGGACGTACTTTAGGATTTCTCATTTCTATTTTCATATAGAAATCAGCTGTGAACTTTTTAACTCAGTATTCTAAGCTGACTAAGACCCTACAGACGTACAGCGCTCGATACTTAGTTAGACGACAGACGTACAGAGTTCGGTACTTAGTTACGTAATCAGTTTAGCTGTCCTAGCTGGACGGTACTGCACTGTTCGTGTATTTGATGTGGCCTTGTTCTAGCTAGACTGTATGTAGTATGTACTGCAGTACCTAAGTACCTATACAAAGTAGCCGGACTAGAGTTTATCTGGCCCTGGTCCACTTTATTGCTGATAGTTGTGTGGTTTTGTTCCCGTTTTTGTTAGCTGATTTGATACAAATAGTGGAATGACCTAAGTGTTGTAGTTAGTATCGTCTAACTAGGGTCCTCCATCAATGATTCATTCTGGGAAGTTTGTTATTTGAAGGACCATAACATTGCCAGTATCAGAGTGTGTAATGAAGTACCAGCAGGGCCAGTGGGCCACACAAGGTACTACGGTAGAGTTCTAATTCATTATTAAACCTACCGCTTTATTGTATCTTGGAGGCCTAGTCAAAAGTTACTCAAGCCGTGTGCAATCAGGGGAACTACTTTCTAGAGTGCATTAATACCTTGATTACGCACGCGAGTAGTCATTAAGGTGTGACAAGTAAATTAATTTGATCGAGAATGTTCACCCTGTTGCTTCTTCACTCAAACAGTTGAGTTTTGCAAAATCTTGAATCTTCCGGTTTGTCACAAAAAGAGTGATTGTCGTTTGTTTGAAGGTTCCTGCAGTGCAGCAGTAGTATAAATAGCAATCCTAGTTACAGAAGGCTGGTTACTCTTCTCTTTATAAAATGGTAAGTTATTGATTTTAATCATGATGGTATTTCTGATGGTTTTGTAAGTTCTCCCGAGCTCCTGTTTAAAGAACCTGTTGGAGATCGTCTAGACATGACTAGCTACCCAAATGGTGCACTGCTAATTAGCAAGTTCTACCATAGGAAGGAACTGATGATGCTAAAAGTTACCCAAATCTCTAAACAGTACATCACAGAAACATACAGTACTTTCTGTGGATCCAGGCTGCATATGCTGTACGCTAATATAGCAGTATGTCTGATTACTACACAAACAGTTAGATGATAGATTACCTATAGTAAGCATCCCTTATATATCATCTAACTGTATGCTTCCTCGATTTTGTGATGGTTAAACTAGAAAATTTGTCAACCTAATAACTTGCTTTGCTAAGAGGTTGCAACTTGAGGTGCCCGTTAATTTAAACTGGAGGATTCGACACTTCCTCGTTTTAGCGAGAGAGAGAGAGATCGAAGCATAGGAAATAAAAGCTTAGTTAATATTAACAGAATATCTGGCATACATATGAGCGAGGTTGTAAATAATGAGTTACCTCTTCTTGTTGTTTATTAGAGTATACTCTCTTTATTTTCTTACATAATAGGTTAAGGAAGTCTCATTCTTCCGTCAAACAAGTTTATAACCTATTCGGTATCCACAAACCAATCATATACTCTCTTTATTTTCTTACATAATAGGTTAAGGAAGTCTCATTCTTCCGTCAAACAAGTTTATAACCTATTCGGTATCCACAAACCAATCATATTTCCATTATAATTTCGATCTGCAGTGTAGGAATATAAATGATTTTTCTCAACATATGATTTCATCGATTAGAATTGGATCACATAAACCCAGCACGATAAATCTATGAAACTAGGCTGTTTAATCCGTTTATATTTTTTTAACCCGCTTATAGATCGGGCTTTTATCGCGTAAATATATTATATTTACAATCATTGATTATTTTCATTACGTTATTAAATAACTTTCTAGTACTCCCTGTTAGTTTATGCTGTTTTAGTGATTGGTCACATTATCATGTGTATTGTGTATTATCTGTATTATCTGTGATTGGTCGCATTATGTGCTCACTTTAAACTGTGTAAATACTAATCTGACCATTTTATTATTTTCCAACTCGGTATTCTGTCACGGGAAATGGTATTCTGTCACGGGAAATGGTATTCTGTCACGGGAAATGGTATTCTGTCACGGGAAATGGTATTCTGTCACGGGAAATGGTATTCTGTCACGGGAAATGGTATTCTGTCACGGGAAATGGTATTCTGTCACGGGAAATGGTATTCTGTCACGGGAAATGGTATTCTGTCACGGGAAATGGTATTCTGTCACGGGAAATGGTCGCTATCACGGGAAATGGTCGTTGTAATGGCTCAGTATATGTACAAAATAAATGCAAAGTGATATTTTCCTTTGACATTATCGCGTGCCTCACCAACTGTCATAGTAAATGTCAAGATGTTAGTCTTATAATCAATCTAGAATCTGTTTTATCAGCCCACGTGGCTACCAGCGTGCAGTTACCGCTCAGCGCGCGCCAGGAATGGAGATAATATGTAAGGAATGTTTTGCAAAGGAATAATACAAATTATTAAGTGCAGTTTAACATTAAAACCAAGATTACTAGCAGATTGCCTGTAAAAGTAACCGCAGAACTAGAAAGGTCAGGTTAGACTTGCTTTGATCTGTCAGGACAGTAGGCACCTAAAGCTATCCTCAGGTTCCTTAATCACAACTTTATATTAACTTATTAAGTTACAAAGTTTATCTTCTTTGTAGCTAAAAGTCCGTGACGGGTCGCACGTGCATTTAGTCGAGACTGATGTTATCCTTTACTTCATCTGCCAGATTGCGCTCTTTTTATATAAAATAGGTTTCCTGACAAGTAACAAGTGAGACCCTGTAATATTACCGGCTCTGTTCAATATTTTACTTGTCCTCATCACGTGCAAACTTGTCTTGTTTAAAACTGTTCATATCCTGTTCAAAACTCTAGGGTTGACTGGGTCCTAACTCATAATTTTAAAGATACCTTTATAGTCAATCTCAATCACCAACTAAATATTTTATGCTAGAAGTTTGATATTTTGTTCGAATCTGCCCCTGTTGCCCCTATCAACAGGCGTCAGGCAAGCATCGAAGGGACCGACTGTTTGCTCTAAGGTTAAGACAAAGTGAAGACAAACTGTTACCCTTGTCGTGTCACACGTTGTGGAGACAAAGTGGAGACAAAGTAGAGACAAAGTGGAGACAAACTGTTATCCTTGTATTGTCACACGTTGTAGAGACAAAGTGGAGACAAACTGTTATAATTGTATTGTCACACGTTGCCAATATTAATACTTACTTTAATGAGGATAAGAATAGCGAATAGGTGACAATGACAGAGCGTCAATAGAACACTATATTTAATGACGATGATAATATACCATTATGATAATCATTGTGCACCATGGTGGACGGTGGTGTAATTACTATTAATCTCGTATAATTTTGGTGAGTAGTTGTGTACACTATCGAGCTCCTCCTCTCAAATGAACGTACAGATCATCCCGCCTAAAAATAACATCACCCCGTTAAAGGTAAGCGTATAATAATTATTATGATGGCCTATGATTTGCTGCCAATATATATGATAATGCTCCCTTTGTTTATCATTCTACACTGATTATCGTGCGAGCTGGAGTTGTTTATTTAC